TATAAAGTCAGGCCGGTACTGTCTACCTCCCAGCCTAAAGCAGGGGCTTATTGTCTCATTTAATTCTCAGAAACCCTCCTGAAGTCTCATGACAATGTCCACATTGCCCATTTCGCTCATTTCGCCATTGACCATTGCAAGGCTGAGTCAAGGTCAGTCACCTGCTCCTCCCTGACCAATGAATCCAAATGCGCCCCTTGCTACAGGGCCAACCTCAGGTTCCATCTTCCCTAAGAGACCTTCTTTGACCCAGCCCGGCCTCCTCTGGCTCCTCTAGATTCTTACAACGGCAGTTATCTGAGCAATCGGGAGAGAGGCGTCTGAAACCAGAGAAACATAAAAACGTATTAGGTAATGCTTGTAAGTGCTGGCACCAGATTGAGGCCATAGCTAGGCTCCTTCTCACAGTCCCCCTGCCCTCGCCAGTTGGAGGAGGCTTCGGGATTTCAGAGCTGCCCTCAGTACCCCCTTTCTTTGAAAGATAATTGAGCTTTTATCTGGGTGGATGTGCAGAGCCAAATTCAGGTGGTATTACTCTCCTGGAAAGGTAACTGCGCTACGTGACGTTGTTCATTACCAAAGAGGAATTCGATGAGGCCATCGCCAAGAACTCGCTTTTCGTGACAATCGATGCTGGGCTGCTCTCATCCAGACGGTTAACATGGGGAGGCCAGGATGAGTTACAGGAGCACCATGCAACCCATCCACAGGATGGGGGGACTGGGACTGCCAAGTCTTTGCACACGACGCTCCTTCTGCCCAGGCTCTGATGCCTGTCCTTCTAAGCTTCGCCTGGAAGACTCCTATGAAGCCCTCAAAACCCAGATTAAGGATCAACCCCCCTGTGAATTCTCCTTGACTCTCAGAGGCAGATTCAGACCCCCCTTCCTCTGTGTTCCCAACGTACCTTATTCATATGCTCGTTGGAGCATATTCTGTATCACGTATGATATTAACATTTATATACACAGATACATATTTATATCTCTTTTTAAGCTGTGAACTCTACAGGGAGTTGGACCCTTTCCCCCTGTAGTAAACTTCTCCGTCAAGGCCTGGCTCAAATGCCTCCTCCTCTGTGAAGCCCTCCTTGATTAGCGCCTCCCTCCACATAGCACTTTGTGCAATTCTCCACCATAGCATTTGAACCTGTGTGTGTGTGTGTGTGTGTGTGTGTGTGTGTGTGTGTATGCGCGCGCGCACGTATACAATCCGGTGTTCCCTCTAGGTTGTGCGCTCCTCAAGGGCTTGACTGTTTCATGATTTTTTTTCTGCATCCCTGAATCCTCACCCAATTCCTGGCATGTGGTGAGTTCTCATTATTTGTATGAGGCTAATAAATCCTGAGGCCCGTGTGGCTTGTGCCATTAGATCGGAAGGACCGTGGTCCAGCAAGCAATATAATGAAGAGGGAATTGTGTTCTTTGCCCCAGTATCTAGAAGAACATAGAAGGAGTGCAATGTGTAATTCACAGGGACGCTTCCCAAACTCCTTTCCACCTCACCCGACCCCATTCTCTTATACTCTGGGACTGCTCTGGAACCTGTCACTGTCGACCCCTCTCTCCTTCTTTCCCACCGTGCGCTCGCACACACACGCACACACACACACACACACACACGAGCATGATGTCTAATGCCAGCCTTAGCAGCTGGTTGTCCCTCTTCACACCCCGTCCCCCCTCCCGCTCCACTCTCCTCTCCCAGTCTTTGTTACAGACACCAGTTTAGCTCGCCTGCCTGCTTTGTGTTTCCTTTCCACTTAAGCGAGAGTCCGTTCCCCTTCTCGGCCCATGTCTTTGAGATTCTGCCTCTCTCTGTCCGTTCTCCCGTGTTTGTACCCTCCCCCCAGTCTAGAGGAACCAGGCTGGCAAAACCTGGTTTCCACAGGAGGGGAAAAAACTCAACACGAGTGGTGGCTGGGGGGCCGAGCAGGGTGCCAGACGCAGGAAGCATCCACATGCTAAGGAATGTTGTCTGGGCCGCGTTGAATGGATGGGGACTTGGATGTATAGGTTAATCTCATGTATCTACTCAACAAATAGCCATAGTGGACCTACTGTAAAACAGTCATAGGCACCGGGAAACAGACCTTGATAGGAGAAGCAAGGTGGAAATCCTATGTGATAAGGTACGCTCATCAAACTATCCCTTTACTGAGAAAGGGGTCACAGTATACACCCCCACCCTCTAGGATAAGTTATTCTGTTTGAAGCAAAAGTCCCAGGGCTGAAAACCTCCGTCCCTATTTGTTACATGCGAAACTGACCCCAGAGAAGTAAAAAATGAATTACCCAAGATCTTTCAACGAGAAAACAGAGGCTCCTCAGCCTTTTCCCTGTACCTCAGGTTGCAGTGAAGAGACTGTTTTGATTGGAAATCCGTGGAATCTTGGGCCCTTTAACTTCTCAGGGTAGTTATTTTAGGATTTGATGTGAGCCAAAAGGCCAATGATGAGTCACAGTGTGAATATATTAATATAATTATTATAACAAGACAACAATGATAGCTACTATTCACTAAGCATTTACTGCCCTCTACAATGCATGATTTCATTTAATTCTTTCAAGAATCCCGCAAGACAGATAGATATTAAGACCAGGAGACTGAAATTGCAGAGCTTAACTTGTCCAAGGTCCACAAGGTCAGCTCCAGAGTGAAGATGCAGATACAAGACACTGCGTGCTCTTGGCTACAGTGGTCAAGTTCTCTCCATCAGCCAAGACCCTCAATGCCACTCAGAGCCGTCTCCAGGATGCTGGGAACCAGGGTGAGCTTTCTGGTCTATATTTAGCTTCCTTTTTCCACCCCTTATCCCCAGTTCCTACACACAGACACACACACACACACACACACACACACACACGCACACGCACACGCACACGCACACACACACGTGGTAAAGTGGTAACTTAGAGAGGGAGAAGGGGCGGGATGAGAAGAGACGGTCTACCAGCTGGGGATAAAGGAACCGCAAAGCCCACATACCGGAAGATGGATGTGGTCTAAATAACCTCAGCACCCTGAACAGCTCCTCCTTCCAAGCCCAGGGATGTGCTGGCTGGTTCCCTGTAAAGCCTGCCGCAGGCTCCAGAGCCTGGGGAGCAGCTCCAGGGCCCCTCCCCTTCCATTCTCAACTGGCCTCCACTTTTCCCCACTTTCTACCCAGAGCCCAGCCTCTGGGTTGAGACTTCATCCAGCTGCCTCCTTCAGCCATTGCTTTGGAATGCTGCCTTTCAGCCAGAGCTGGAGAGAGAGAGAGAGAGAGAGAGAGAGTAGGGCCTCTGGGCAGGCGAATCAGCTCACCTCCTTTAAAGGGATGTCCTTTAAGTATCCATTCAGCACCGATTTAAAGAAAAGGGGTGGGTTGGCAAGAAGGCCTGCTGGTGGCTGGTCCAGCCTGTCCTCCGTTTATCACGGCAGTTTGGCTCCCACCCTTGCAAAGCCCAAGCCCCACGACTGACTCAGTCACAGTCTCCTTGGAGGGCAGTTGGCAGTGTGAGCGGCTTTTTTGGAGAACGCCCACATATGCATATTGTCAAAGTACTTCTTACAACCATGCGCTGTATTCTTGGAACGAGCGCTGGGGTCATTGTTTCCTCCACCTTTGTCTCTCTCCGGCATTGGCTGGTTACGTTTCAGGGCCTGCCCAGAGGATCCCTCCTGCCTTTGGATCTCTCTAAGCTCCAAACTGGGCCCCTAAGCGAATTCTGCTCACCCCATGCTGAGAACAGACTTCTGGAGTCCCCACCCAGGTGCAGGAATCCTGGCCCCAGCAGAGAAGGAGTTCAAACGGGATTCTTTTCACAGGGTTACCATTTCAGCAGCATCTTACAATCAATGTTAGCCATTTAATGTGGCGGCATTTCTGATTGTGTACCCAAAAGCCATTAGTAAATCAGAGAAGCACTTGCAATCAATGGTGTCTTGGAAATATCTGTAGCTTTAACTGACAGACACACACACAGACACACACACACACACACACACACACACACACTTCTTTTGTGTTCCTACCGCACTTTATGTCTACCTCTTTTATAACTCTTGTCAGCGTGCATCATCATTGTTGGTGTGTGTGTATCTCACCCACTAGACAGTGAGGTCCTCAAGGGCAAAGTCTGTCTAATTCATTTTTATACTCCAATGCCAGCACTGTGTCCAGCACCTCATAGGTGAATTCGATTTGTTTGAATTGATGTGTAAGAGAGTGAATTCAGATGGCTCATCTAGGGGGCACGCATCAGTCTTGGGACCGGAGGGTCTTTTTTTTTTTTCACTGATTAGAGTAGGTGACCATGTCTGTCTCTAGGGGGGCCCAATGCCCCTGTCGTGGAGCGACACGGCCCAAGCACAGAATGGGTCCTTAGAGAAACTTCCAACCCTGGGCTAGTGCTACCACAAAGGGTCCCTTCTCCCAGGCCTTGGAGCTCCCTGCCCGGGCCAGGCATCAAGCTCAGGGTAAAGAAATCCAGTGTGTGACTCACACTGGAAACCTGGAAGGAACAGATCTGTATCATGGAGGACTTGCTGGCCACTGTGTCATCGGTTATTTAGCATCAGGTTTTCAGAAAGATCTTCGGGGACTTCACTCCAGCCAGATGACCTCATGCTGAGCGAGATTTATGGCCTCTTGAGGGAGGAGTAAGGCTATGAGGTAACAGAGGGAAGAGAGCCCTATAATTATGCGTGAAACCATATCATCCCCCTGCTCCTTTATGAATCAGGCCAACAATGAGACACTGCAATTGCCATTTTGGAAAGAAAAAAAAAAGAAAAAAAGAGGGCACCTGAGTGGCTCAGTCGGTTAAGCTGTGCTGACAGCTCAGAGCCTGGAGCCTGCTTCAGATTTTGTGTCTCCCTCTGTCTCTGCCCCTTTCCTACTCCCTCTCTCTTTCTCTCTCTCTCTCTCAAAAATGAATAAACATTAAAAAATGTTTAAGAAAAAAAGATACGACAAAATCCACCTGCCAATTTGTCTCTTCGTAATAATTGCAATATTCACCAACGTTGCATTTGTATTTTTGTGCATCAGAGACAGCAATATGTAGCAGGCACTCATTGAATTTTTGTGGACAATTTGAGTGAATGTTCTTCTACACACATTATCTCCTTTAAAGCACACAACAGCTCTTTGGGGTGGACACCAATGTATGAGTTTGCTCGGGCCGCCATAACAAAGCACCGCAGGCTGAGTGGACTTATGCCACAGACATTTATTTCCTCACAACTTTGGAAGCTGGAAGTCTGAGATCGAGGCATCAGTAGGCTTGCTTTGATCCAAGGGCTCTCTCCTTGGCTTGTAGATGCCATCTTCTCCCTGTGTCCTCACACAGCCTTCCCTCTGTGTCTGTGTCCTAAGCTCCTCTTCTGAGGACACGGTCATATGGGATTAGAGCTCGCCCTCGTGACCTCCTTAATGATGTGAAGAACGAAGGCAAAAGGAAATGTAGATAAAATTAAATTTGCTTATATAACCTGCAGCCCATTGACAAATACTGGAGACAGGCAGAGAATGACTCTCCTCCAGGAACTCCTAATCTTAATGTTAACGCTTTGGTAGAGGGAAAAACAACCTTCGCTTGATGATAGCTAAGCCTCCAAGATGCTGTCAGTCTTCTGTATGTGAAAACCCTTTTGGAAATGTTGTCTTTACCTCTCCCAGCCCCCCACCCCCACCAAAGTGTATAATCAATGGTGCCTCACAATCTCAGGACAGCTCTTTCTGCCCATGGGTCCTGGCCCCTGTGCTTTAATAAAACCACCTTTTTGCACCGGACGTGTCTCAAGAATTCATTCTTGACCGTTGGCTCTGGACCCCAGCACTTCAAACCACATCATGAGGACCACAACAACCTGCTAGTACAAGACTTCAGTAAGTACCTGGGTGTTTTCACAAGTGTCTCAACTGGTGTCCACATTCATCATGGTTCCCTCCCCTTCTCTCCAGGTTGGAGTGGCCAGGTCAGTTTGGATTAGATTGTGAAACACCTTGACTGTAAATATGAAGGAGGTGAGCTCTTATCTTACGGCAGCAGGGATGTCTTGGCAGTTTTTAAGAAGGGCCAAATTGTTTTTTTCAGGAACATACCACCCAGGAAGGGAGGAGATGGATTGGGGGACAATAGTCTAATCAGAAAGACCAATAGTGACACTGTTGACCAAGTCCTGGTCACCGTTTTTCAAACTAAGTTCTACAGAGTCTATGCATTCCATGGAGGTGCCTCAGAGGTCACCTGAGGCCCAGGAGGCATTGTGTGGAAGAGAAGAGGGGACCTGAGTTTCAAAGAGCAGCTGGACCCATGATTACTTTCTTTGTAAATAGTACACGTTAGCTCAATAACGAAAATTGCAAACCTCTGATCTACATGAAACACAAGGAGACCATAAATAAGAAGGAAGAGGAGGAAGGGTGAAGGAGGAGGAGTCTCTCTCTCTTGAGGAGAGATAACCGGTTCTCCACAGACAGATCACAAGGAAGAAGAGAGAAGCCATTTTTCAGACGGCTGACCCACACATCCTGCCAGTTCCAGTCTCACCCAGGGTGGGTCTACTTCCAAACTCACTCACGTGGTTGTTGATAGATTTCAGATCCCCGAGGCTGTCAGAATGAGAGACTCGGCTTCTTGCTGGCCATCGGGCGAGGCTGCCAATGGTACATCACCTCTCCACAAACAGCTCGTAACATGGCAGCCGGCTCCATTGATGATCAAGTGAGAAGGGGAGAGAGCAAGACTGAAGTCACAATCATGTGTAACCTAACCATGGAAATGACATCTAGTCACTTCTGTTAGACACCGGTCACTGGGTCCAGCCCCCCACTCCAGGCGAGGGGTTAAACTCCAGGTTTAACCTAGGGATCTTGGAGAGCCATTTTAGAAGAGCCCACTATACTCAGGGATAAAGACTTAACAGAGTACCCCCTGTTGCCCCCTTACTGCCCCCTCAGTTCTCGCTGCCCCCTCAATTACTCCTTCCCAAGGGGGAAGAAGTGACGTCCCTTAACTAGTGAGTTTGGGGAACGTTGACTGGGATATGTGGGTCAACCATCTGAAAAAATGGCTTCTCTCTCCTTCCTTGGGATCCATCCATCTGTGGAGAACCGGTTCCGCTATGCTGCTGGCCATGCCAGCAGCTGAGCCGTAAAGGCTCTGTCTCCCCTAGGAGAGAGCTTCCCTTCCCTAGAGCCACTGGGGAGAACTCCCTCAGTCTGGGTCCAGAAGTAGGCAACCCACTTTGGCTGCATACCTATGCCACAGTCTCCAGCCTCCGCTTCATCCAAAACGAAGTTGGTGTTTTTGTCACCATTGGCCTGATAATTCCGGTTCTCTCCATTAGCTTAGAACTCTGGCAAGGAAGAGAGGCACCCCTCTCAAACCCCACTGCCATTCTTGAAAGAGTTGGGGTCTGGAACCCACCTAACCTGAGCAGGGCAGGCTGCACGGTCACATGAACGCAGGCGCTCAGCAGGGTCCTGCCCTTGGTTTAACACTCTGCTGTCACCGTCTTGAATTTCTTCACAATTTTTAAACAGAGGTCCCACATCTTCATTTTGCACTAAGCCCCGCAAATCATCTGGTTGATCCTGAACCTGAGTTTGATCCTGCTTTTGCCGCTAGCCTCCAGGTCGTGGACACGTGACCAACCCCCTCTAGATTTCTCACTTGCAAAAAGGAGCTGAATACCCAATATCTGGCACTAGGGTTGTTGGGAGTCTCAGGTGAGGCGGCATAGGTGTGAATGGTAGAACTACCCCTGGGTGTTTAACCTCCAGCGAATTAATTAGCCACCTCTGCCCAACGCAGATCCTGACTGGAACAGCTAAACAAACATGGCAGGAGGAAGGAATCGAAGACCCATTCTGGTCCCAGAGAGAAAGCATCAGTCTGAGATTCTGACACGGAAGCCAGTGCACCCTGCAAAGGCCCTTCCATGTATCCCAGCAACTCCATGAGCAGTTCCCACAATGCACTGTTGACGCGGCCACTCAGGAGCCTCTAGGGAGCCAAGGCCACGATGGGACATGAGTTCTCCAGGAGACCCAGACCTCATGGAAAGGTCATCTGCTGTAAAAGAACCAGTACCCTGAACGTTCACTTTCCAAACGAAGAGGAAATGTGTGCAGACATCAGGCCATCAACTTACACAACTCGAGAAAACACTAATCGTTAATGTATTTCATTGAGAAATACCAGAGAGAGAGAGAGAGAGAGAGATGCTTTTTTTGTTACTTGACTAATTTACTGCATTTCATGTTTAAATTGAAGTATCTACTTATACAATTATGAACCATCCTGACTCAAAGAAAGTTCACCAAAATAATTTCCTTATGTAACGTTGTCTTCCGATATACCTGCTATTTTCATTTCATTCTGTGTTTTTATTCTGCCAGAGTCGAAAGATCTAATTGTATTTTTAAAGTGTCCCATGGGGCGCCTGGGTGGCGCAGTCAGTTAAGCGTGCGACTTCAGCCAGGTCACGATCTCGCGGTCCGTGAGTTCGAGCCCCGCGTCAGGCTCTGGCTGATGGCTCGGAGCCTGGAGCCTGTTTCCGATTCTGTGTCTCCCTCTCTCTCTGCCCCTCCCCCGTTCATGCTCTGTCTCTCTCTGTCCCAAAGAAAATAAATAAATGTTGAAAAAAAAAATTAAAAAAAAAACATTTAAAAAAAAAATAAATAAAGTGTCCCATTAAACCAAAATAACGATCCTGCTACAATAACCATCATGAGCTAGTTGGTCCTGACTTGTATCACATTTTGAAATGTCATGCTTTTTTTAATGGTTGTTTTCCCAAGAGGGTTTATAGCTTTTTGCAATTAGGCAGCCTTGTAAAGCATGGTTTTAGATGATTTCAATGTTTCAAACCAACTGAGCATTTCAAACACCCATTTCCTTTGCCTTTTTAAAATTAATAATAATGCCTTTCACGTATCTTGGTTCTTTACAATTGACAAAGTGCAATCACATTTATTGTTTTATTTGCTTCTACTTTCCAGCCCTAGGTTACATGCTAGAAGAGGGCTTGGGTCACCAACAAAGCAAGAGACTAGAGGTCACATGAATGTAAAAGGAATTTACTGGCAGGATAGCAGGTGGTTCAAGGATCCACATGCAGGCTGGGGGCGGGGAATGTGGCTCCAACATCAGAACCACGGAAATCTGGGCAGCTGAGAACACTGCCAAGAGCCTGTCATCATTGTCTGGTTCAAGTGCAACCACCAGGACTGCCAACATCTCTCTCTCGCTCGCTCGCTCGCTCGCTCTCTCGTTATATCTGTGAGATGTTTCCATGTGGTTGCCGGTGATAATAGTTCATGGTTTCTTTGTTTTCACTGCAGTATCACACTCTCTTGTATAATTTTACCAAAATGTCTCGCTCATTCTATTTTTTTATGGATTGTTTCTAGTTTTTGATTATGATGAACACTACTGCTGTGATAATGGCTTGCACCTGTCTTTTGGTGGACTTGTGCATTAATTTTTCTTAGATGTCGCAATTCCAGAGGAATTGCTGGGCCGTCAGGTAGGCACAGGCTTCACTGTGTAGATACTCAGTGATGGGCTTTTGAGTCTCCTGCACCCAGTGTGAATATTACCTCCTATCCCTGCCCCTCTGTATCATTCCCTACACATGCAAGATCCTGGGGGTGTTCGATCATTCCAGCCCAGACCTCTTGCCCTCACCTAACAGGCCTAGGGCAGAGAACAATGTCCTTGTCAGCTTCCATAGGGTGTCCTTCATTCACATCCTGGGATGTCTTCTCAAACAAGGTGGGGGAAATGAACAAGATGTTCTGGTACCCATGAATCTGTGATGTCATACTCAGTCAGTGAGATGTCCCCATACATATGCTTCCAGGACAGGAGACTGGAGCACAAGCCATGGCTCTGAGGGTCTGGGCCACATGCCAAGGAGCTTCAATCAGGGGAGGCAAGACAGAAAGTTCTGGGGCACAGTGAGAGCTGAGATAGGGAAGGAGCCGGTGGCCTAGGGTCGCACCTGCTGTTCAGACCTTCATGTTTTGTGTCATTTAAACATAAAAACACGTTTGCAAATAAACGTTCACACGTAACCTACTCCTGACCCCAAGATGCCACTGAGTATAAAAATCTACCACTGATTCAAGGCACTTGGTCAGGAATAAAGAATTGGATTGTGAGCTTCCGTTGATGGCATAAAACCGTTCAAAGGAGGGAATATTAACAGTTTCTACAGATGAGACAGTAAGTCATACAAAACGGATCAAAAGGTCTGTGGCTCAGGCTGAAGTGAGGTGGGCTTGGGACCCTGACAACTCAGCCTCCCTCTCCTTCTCCTTGCCTTTCCCACCGTGGTTCCCAAGGCAGCTTTTCGGAACCCTGGAAACTCCTTTGGGCGTGATGAAGAGGGCTGTGTTTTGGAGTGAAGCACCTCTGTGGCATCGAGCAAGTAGCTTTACCTCTGAACTTCAGCTTCCTCATGTGGGGATAATGAAACGTACTTCTTGTGAGGATCGGAATAAGGGCACGCAAACCACCAGGCACGATGCCTGGCCTGTCTTGGGCAAGTGGAGAGAGCTGAATTTGCTTCCATTTCTCCATGACCAACAGAAGGCAGAAGTGGATTCTGGTTTGTTGAACCATCTGTTGGATGAAGCATGTGAGAAAAACCAAAAGTGAGGTGGGCAGTACAGGGAAAGAATAGCATGACAACACTTTGCCTAGCTTCCATTCATGACTGACACCAGCTGCTGAGGTCTTCGGGATGGGGGGCGGTCCATAAATAATAACCCTTTTCTTCTCCTCCTGACTGTAGAACCCGTGGAGGGAGGTGGGACACAGAGAGATGGAGAGCAGACGGTCATCTTTACGACCCATGAAACTGATGGCAGGTCATGGCGTTATACTCCTGGCCAAAAGGATTTGCTAACACTTTGCCCCTCTAGACCTAGAGACAGTCCAGCCCAGGGAGAGTTTGGGGCGAGCAGTCACATGAGCGAGAGCCCGGAATGTCGCTCTCAAGGAGGGCCTTCTGGGAACAAATGAAGCAAGGGGAGAAAAATCACCATTCTTGCAATCACACACACACACACACACACACACACACACACACACACACACACCCGCCCCCATATGTGCCTGATTCTGAATCCCTAAGGCAGTGGCAAACCCTATAATCATTTAAGAATGATTTTAGGGGCCTGTTTTCAGTTCTTTTCAATCCCCCAGTCTGCATGTTCTCAGATTCTGTTATTTCCTTTCCTTCGAACGGCACCTCCTTCAAGTCTTTGCCCAAGTGATGCGTTCTCTATGAAGCCCACTTAAAATGACAGCCTCCCACAGAATAGGAGAAAGAACATTTGCAAATTACATATATGATATGGAATCAATATCCACAATACACGAAGAACTCCTAAAACTCAACAACAAATTTAATTTGCCCATTTAAAAATGGGCAAAGGACTTGAATAGATATTTCTCCAAAGAAGATTTGCAATATGCATGTGAAAAGATGCTCAATATCACTAATCACCAAAAAAATGCAATCAGGGGCGCCTGGGTGGCTCAGTTGGTTGAGTGTCCGAACTCAACTCAAGTCATGATCTCATAGTTCATGAGTTTGAGCCTTGTGTCGGGGTCTGTGCTGACAGCTCAGAGCCTGGAGACTGCTTCGGGTTCTGTGTTTCTGTCTCTCTGACCC